GCATGGATGCACCAAGCTCTGATGTTCTGCAGTGGTAGGAAGAAACACAACGAAACCCAAATTATGGAAAGATGTTACAAGGCACAATGAGTTTTTCCCCTGTTGTTGTGGTATTAGGTATACAGCTGGGCTTTACTGATGCTCGAACACTTCCCGGGCTTCTCATGCGCTCTCGCACCCGCACAGTTGCGCTTGGTGGGGGTTTCAGCAGCCGTTCCCAAGCTCGTGCTCACAGACACATCAACTCAAGCAGAGTATGGAACTGAGTGGCTAGGAGAAAGTTAATGACATTTACCTAATAATGGTTATATCTTCTGTTTTGAAGCATATTACAACTGTTTTGATTTATTCTTGCTAATGATTAGCCTGTCCCGTTCTGGTTCTGTACAATATCATTCTCTGCAATCCCCATTGCACTACACACACAAACACAGCAGCCCACAGCAAACAAAGCGTCCCAGACCAGGTAATGCCATCGCCCTGATCTCGGTGACACCCGTGTCCAGAGGCCAGGGTTAAGAGTGGAAAGCTCATGCACCAATGTGCAAACTCCCACATGCCGAGTTCAGCTGTAAACACTGGTTTTGTGCTCTAAACCTTCAAAACCTGTTACTTTGGGACAGGGAAGAGCAAGAACCCAGCGGTTTTGATGATGCAAAAAGCAAGTAAATTCACAAAACCAAGATTTGAGTTGTATCTAAAAAAACCCACCAGTTAAAAAGGAGTACCGCTCCAGTCAGCAGCTGGTAACGATCCGGAGAGGACCGCTACTGCAACAGGGAATTTGGGATTTGTGCCAGGAGGGGACACAGTCCTTTGGCTGCAGGAGGGACTTTGCAGACACCGGACACGCACATTTGTGCAGCTGAAAGCTTTCCCCATGGCTGCCTCTCTGCAAACCCTGTGCCCCAAAGGGAGGGAGGGAGAACTACTGCAAGCTTTTAATTCCCCCCTCCCTGCTCCTTGACCTCTCAAAATGTTTTAGACTGACCACAGAGACAGCCCAGCAGTCTGCAGAGCCTGGCCCAGCAGCGCGGGTGACCCGAAGCCCAAGATGCGGATGGGAGGGGGCTGCCCCAGGGCGCTGCCAGCCTGGAGCTGCCCACCCACCGCTCCTTGGCCCTGAGCTGCGGAGCAGCTTCCCGGAGCCACTTTCGTACTGGGAATAACTGGGTTCCCCCTGCTTTCCCTCCTGAGCAGCCCACTGCACTGCCTTGCAGACAGCTTCTCGCTAGGTTTTTAACGCATCAGGTTTCAGACAGCAGCTTTGTTGCCTGCATGGACACTTGTGGCACAACTCGTATGTCCAGGTCTCTCTCAGCCTCCGCGATCCCTCCTGCCTGGCAGCTCTGGTGGGCACGCAAAGTGGGCGGCAGGCACCAACCCGCCCAGTGCCACGCACATCGGCTGCCAAACAGGGTCTTGCTGCGGTGTGGTGGGACCAGGTTTCCCCTGTGGGAGATGTTCCCATCGCCCCTCAGTCCGTGTGGACACTGTGATCTCACACACTCAGCCCTTCCTGCTCTGAGAGCTACCAGAAATCCAGTGCAGGCACCCAGACACACAGGTCAGTGCCTGCAAGAGGGGGAAGCAGGAGGTGTGGGCATGAGCAAAGGCAATCCAGCATGGCAAGCGAGTCCAGACCAGCCACATCACACAGCCCCCAGCAAAACCAGTGGGGAATCAGCCATCTGCAAAGCCAGTGCAACTCTTCCTACGTGGCGTGGCCAAATGCAGCTTCTGCTGGAAGGTTTTGGGAGCACTGCACAAGCCTCACACGTTGTGCCAACCACCAGACCCCCCCACCAGGACTTAGGGAAACCCCTCAGCACCAGCCGTGCCATCACTGCCCAGGGCAGATTTTTGCACCTTTCTCTGAAGCAGCTTGTGCTGCCAGATATGGAGGACACACTGATACGGTTGTGCATCTGCATGTGAAGCCTTGCCTCCACTGCTAGCTCCAGGAAAGACTTCAACAGTATGTAACCAAGGGGCACTATTTTTTCCCCCTTTCTCTACCCCTGAAAAGTTTGGACAGACCACCAAGAAGCTGCAGCTGAGCAGCCCGGGGAGCACAGGCTGGGCACAGGCACGCTGCCCTTTCCAGCACTGGCTCTCCAGCAGGCACCGTCCCTGGGCACACAGCAGGATAAGAGCACTGCAGATCTACCAGCACACTTGCCACAAGCTGGATTCCCAGCTGCTCTGAAGGTAGCACACATGGCATTTACCTCCAGTTTCAAGCCTCTTGGCTCTTCCATAACCCCCTGCAAACCTCTGCTGTCCCATCTCCTCTCTCCTTTCAACCCCCCCTCTATCTGTAGAGGCATTAATACAAAGCACTTGCACGGCCACTTACTTGCACTCCCTTTCACACGAGCTCAGTAGCCTTTCCTCTTCCCTGGAGCTCTGATGTTAAACCCTTGTCCTCTGACTAGAGACAAAAAATCCAGCAGCAAATGTTCTTTGGAAGCAAGAAGCAAATGGAGCTCTTTTACCAACAGCTTGACGAAATCCTCCTCCAGCATCTCAAACGGCGTTTGCTTGTTGCAGAATGACCAGCAACGCTCACTTGCACCATTTCTCTAGGCTGGGCAGCATCGTTCTTGGAGTGTGACACGGTGCCGGCAGCAGAGAGGGGTTTTCCAGCCACCCGCTCAGTGGACAGCATGGAAGTACAGCACAGATATGGGTTTCTTTTTACGTAACCAGCGGCTGTGCTTGCTCAGACCTGCTGTACGTGGGAGTTTTCTCCCTTCATTCAGTGAGTGGGGGAATGTTTTAACAGCATCTGAGAAAGCAGGGCTAGAGGCACCTCAGAGCTGCAGGAGTTGCACGTGTTGGTCATGCAACAGGAACCGTTGTTCTTGTCTAGGCACAAGTGCACGTGTGTGTCCTCAGAGACAGAGGTGCAAAAATTCTTTCCTGCTCTAACATGCACACAAAGACCCTGATGCCACCACTCTTGCACACATCGTTCTGGACACAGCTATATCTATTTCAAAAAAAGAGGTCTTGGTAACCCTTCCCTATCTGACAAAACCATGTTGTCTGCAACCCTGAAGTAGCAGATTGCTTTGGGAAGGAAGCAGACTAACAGATTACTCAAGCTTTGCCAAGAAGGGGAAAGCTGAGCTGGGATCCTGCCTGCACTGCAGCGCGAGGGGTGGAGGGCAGCGAGGTGACCATCCGCCAGCGGAACCGCTGTTAGCAAGGGCCAACATCAAGGCCCTCTTTGTGCCATATTGTTTGCTTTCTGCAGGATGTGTTATGTTTGGCTTGCTGGCTGCTTCTGGGATATGCGTGAAAGAGCATTTTTCATGCTCAATGAGTTAATTATTAGCCATAGGCAAGTGGCCACTGAGCAATTAGAAATCACAATACAAGGAAGAAAGCACAACAGAACACCTTTCATATTAACACGGAAATAAAAGTCTTTCTTCTGCTGGGAATTACCCTTAATAAAACTGTGTCACTTGATGCCCTGAAATCAAATTTCTTCCACTGTTTATAAAGACTTTCCTTGGCACCTGTCATCTTCTCTAGAACTTGGAGTACACTGGTAGATCAACAGCCACGCTTGGGAAATGCTCATTCCCACCACTGCCCCGTGCAGTGTCCAGCAGCCCACTCAGTTCACACCAAGGAAAACAGTTTGGTGAATGAGAGGCTTGGCTTCCTCTGAGCCGTCACTCCGTCCAAAACAAGGGGGAGGTCACAAATATTCATCCTTGAGACTATGGACACATTTCAAGAGACACGCAGTTTGGTCTGCCATTCCCCAATAGCCATAATTTTGTGTCCTGGCCAAGGGTTAATTTTGGTGTAGTAGGTTTGATGGATATCCAGGTGGGACAGTGCTTGATTGGTTTAAGTCTGATTCTTGGAGGGGGGGGTGGGGGCGTAAATCTCTGCATCTCACTAACAGTACCAGCAACTGAGGAAAGAAAAAAGTAGAGGTAAAAATATTACACTTTTTCCTTTTTGCATGTCCTTGAAGAGATCTGGGCAGTAATCAAATACAGGCTTCAGGTCTAACCGCTGCTCTGTGACATAAGGAAGAGATTTGCATATAAGGAAGAAATTTTTATTGTGAGGGTGGTAAGACACTGGAATGGGTTGCCCAGAGAAGTTGTAGATGCCCCATCAGTGGAAGCGTTCAAGGTCGGATTGGACGGGGCTTTGATCAGCATGACCTAGTGAAAGCTGTCCCCGCCCCTGGCAGCGGGGTTGGACTGGAAGACTTTCAAAGATCCTTTCCAAACCAAACCATTCTGTGATCCTGTGAGAGCAGGTTTTCCCAAGGAGTGGTTTTAGCACTCGGGCAAACAAGCAAACAAACCTTCCTTTCACCGCGTGAACAACGCTGAAAGAAAATATGACCCCAGCTATTAAACTATTAGAAGCAGCAGTATCTCCTGGCAAGGGTCAGGTGAGCAGTCAAGCTCTGGGTTGCCACCAGGCTCTCCAGCCTGCCAGGGCTCAGCAGCTTTTGGACCATTTTTGGACTTCAGCCTTGTGATGGGCTATTCTGATCCACAAGTTTCAAACCAGATACCATTTCCAATTTTGAATCAAGTCTCTCCTGGCTTGGCCAAAATCACTTTTTACGCTGTGCACACCACCGCTGTTGCTTGCCCAAGGAACCTCTGCTCTGATGGACACACTGATGGCTTGCAGACCTTGTGTTAACCAAGTTTGCCATAAGACCAACTGCCCTCACTTTACACGATGGGAGACCGGAGTGTTGGGATGAGACCCACGGGCAGTCATGACACCATGCAGCAACACAGGCAAGAACAGAGATACCACCACTCTCTTTCTTGTTTAACTTCTTGACAAAAGTGATTAAATTCTGTATTTCTCTCTAGCTCAAGTAGCCACAACCCTCATATCCTCCAGACATGAGGATTACTAGATTACTTGATCATTTAACTTAATCATTTTGCTAAAGTGATTATTCACCAACTTCTGTGTCTCTTCCAGAGAACGCAAGAAAAATGACTTTACTAGCATTCATCTTCCTGCTCGCCTTCCTCCCAAAGGAATCTGCAAGCAGCAGATACCCCCCCAAGGCATCAAGTAAGTGTGACTTGTCTGGGGCACAGGTCTTGTGGGTGGCCTAAGAGCAGAGGTGGCATTACTAAGGGTGGAGCAGGGTTTGCGGAGCGTCTCTACCCCATCACCGCCATGGGACGTTTCAGACCACGTGGTGCTGCACAGCCCCGTGTCCACGCTTGCCCCGGTACACCCCACCTGCTCTGCGGTCCCGTCGGGTTGTGCAGCACAGCTGGCATTCACAGCCAACGTGTTTTCCTCTTGCAGTCTCCAGCCCTGTGTTCGGACCACGGCAGGTATATGGTCTGTTCAACGGGTCAGCTACCGTGAAATGCTTCTACCCTCCAACGAGCGTGAACAGACACGACAGAAAGTACTGGTGCAAGGAATCGGCCAGGGGCTGCTTTACTGTTGTCTCCACCAGTGGCTACACTGCGCCAGGCTACCAAGGCAGGATCTCCATCATTGACTACCCACAGGCAGAAAACTTCCAGATTAACATCTCTGAGCTTAGAGCCACTGACACAGGCACCTACCAGTGCGGTATTGGTATCAATGGCAGAGGGCTCTCCTACAAAGTCAGTCTGGATGTTTCTGAAGGTAATTACAGTCTCCGGGCTCCTTAAAGAATAATTTCCTTACTTTCCCCTCCCTTGATAATAAGGCTCCACAGTAGTTTGTCCAGTGTCTAAAAGCTCATGAGGCTCCACGCTTCCAGGAAACAGCAGTTTTCATTTTTCCCTGTGCTCTTACAGAACGCATTTTTTGACCAAAAATCTGGCATAAAAATCCGATTAAATGAACTGCATCTTAAGGTCACAAACAGTGCTTAGGAACTGCTGACCTCTCTCAGCCACTTGAATTCAGGGAGATGCGGTCAGAGGGCAGAACTGCCCATCACTCCACTGCACACTCCAACCCACGGCTGTGGCTGTGA